AAAGATGCTTCCTGCTATGAAAATTGGGCATTGCGACCATTGCCTCTGCACCGTATCGTCCATCCCATTTTGTCAAAAGTTTTACATCCATTGTTTTTGCCGAATACCGCGTTGTTCATCAATTTGTATAAATTTTTCTCAAAATCGTTTGTTGCATGCGTTCGAAACTGCGTATTTAATTCTATGTAGTTGCGTAGCCATGAAGTTTGTGCGAATTGGAGTATGCGATGAATCTTTTCGATACGAAGACCATGGCGTATGCACTGTTGCAAGATTATCGATAATGAATAACATAACACTGCTTATTATATAAAGTCGCAAGGAGTTTTTCTTGCTGTTTGTTCGGGGGCTTCGTTCGCGTCGGACAAAACGGTAGATCTGCATGTGCATCATGTAAGTGTTGAGGATACTCCAAATCAACCTCGAGAATATAACCTGTGAGCGAATTTAGCGGGATTGATGATACATCAAAATTCGACGTATCATCACCCACTTAAATTCAGCGTATGGTAACGGTTGACACATTGCCCAGCCATACAAATTATTTATATCAAAGTACATGAGGTATGAGGATGGCTTCGATGGATCGTAAGATTGCATGTATTGGTTATTGGCTTTTGCGTATCTATCGGAACACTGACTCAGACCGCCACGTATACCGCGTTCGATAAACATTACCATATCAATATCTGTGAGTAATTCAAAATTAATTTTTGTATGTTTTAACATTGCGTCCCACGTGAAACCTGGCAATGTGTAATAATACGCGGGATCTAGACCGTAACTTTTGATACAACTATCGCGGAAATTTTCGAAAATATCAGCCAATAACAAAACATCAGTCTTCAGGTACAAATCGCTATATTCGCCTAAGGTTTGAATAGAAAACTGTTCCCATACGTTCACAGCGTGCGTGTAATCGCTCTCAGATACTGTATCACCTGTCAGCGAACTGTAGAATGACTCGCGCGGTGGTAAACATTGATCCTGCAGCTTGTCATTGCAATCCACATATTCGTACGGAAAGACACCTTTTCTCGTTAATAAATCAAAATCTTTGTCGGATAAGTTTTTAAATTCGGATTGAAGAATTTTTAATTTGTCTCCAGTGAGAAACGATGCTAATTTATCGAGACTGGTACTGAGAAATTTGTACGAATCGATGAACCGCAATTTAATATGATTTCGCCAGCCTGATGTTTTACTTGTTGTATCATTAATATATTTAGTAAATGAAATATATTTTTCTTTCGTTATTGGTAGTACATCGACGTGACCTTCGAACGCGGTGGCTACTTCCTTGATAATAAAATGAGCGTCATAACCTGATAAATTATGAAAAACTATTGGAATATAATAGGAATCTATATAATTTAAATTACAATTGGAATGTGCCGGACCCCTGTATTGTCCGGTTGAATGACAGTGATCGCGTACGCGTATATCCCCCACTGCGAATAATTTTTCGCATATATGACAATGCGTTGCACTATAAAATGCTGCGCACTGTTCTTGTGATAAAATTTCCATAGGGACATTATTACGCAGAATAATTTTTATACGATGCGCCAATTGTTTAAGTTACTCGACGAACTACGAAATGCAATTCGGATCGCGACGACACTGATATGCGGATAATGATTCATCGTAGGAACATCGTACATAATAAGCTACACTATGTACTTTATGATGCTGATACACATACGATTTTTTTTCTTCATTTGGCGTTTTCTCTAGAATGCATTCCAGGTCAGCGTACACCACGAATGGAATCCGTTCCCTTCTGCTGTAATTAGTAAAACTGAGCCACTTGTTGGCCTCTGTTGGCAGGATGACTGCACAATCATTCAACTTGTTGCAATCTATGATATGATTCTCCAGTTTTTCGTTGGAATAAAAATAATGCAAGCAACTGAAAAGAAATGGATATTACGAGTTATTCTTTTATTTCATATTTGTTATATTGTATTTATGGTGAATATCTCCTTACCGATCGCATATATACTTCTTGCATTTTTTCTTACTTAGCTGCATATCCACAAGACGTGACAAATTCTTGATCCACACGAAATGTCCCATGTTGCACTCTTGTGGATCTTGTACATATAACAAATTTACATGCTTTTCCTTCTTACTGGCGAGACGTATCGGAACGATCGTACATGCTTTTTCTTGCTTCTTTTTATCTTGAATGGTGTATACGTTGATGGATATGTTGTTTAGCTGTTCAAACTTGGTAATTTGTTTAATCGTCATTGGAAATTCAATATCCTGAAGATTGAATATTTTGGTGTAATGTGGGTACGAAGATTCCCGGTCTCCATGTCTTGCAGCTGGATATAATGCCGCGACCACGGACCATGCAAAACATGCGTTGTCTTTAGTTCGTACGTTTATTACGGCTTTCTTTAATTTTATTTCGCGAGGCAACTCAATGTTGCACCCTGCATGCAGTGGATTGTGTTTGTTCACATTGACTGTGAGATCAAGTATGCGCAGCAGTGCCCACCCACTATCACGTTCTTGAAATTCTTCCAAAGATGCCAAAGTAGGCTCGATGACGCGTTGCTCGTACCATTTATCCAAATCTAAAGCAGAAAAGAGCACTGTTTCTCGTGTTAATGCTTTTGAATGCATGATTGTCGCCTGAGATAAACTCGCCATTGAACATAGTGTTCACCTTAATATTGCAGTGCTTTTCCATAGCACTTCGTACGTGCTCGAGCACTGTACTCTTTGCATCTTGGAGAAATCGAAGAGGTTCGATATGGCTCACGTTAATAACTGCGCCGGTTGAAATGCGGCTTTCGAACGCTGTATCAATTTCTCTCCATACCAATTCTGCATCTCTTGATGCATGTCCAGCACCCACGTGTATGAAGCGTTCTTGCACAGAAATTTCAGTCCCTCGAGTCGTGCAATACGAGCCACCACTGATTGCGCGGCGCTAATCGACAATCGCGGTCGTTTTGCTCGACTTTGTTCTTCCAAACATCTGATACACTTGTCAAACTTTTGCACCCACGCATCGTAAGCCTCTCGCGAATTTAGATGAGTGGATTGCTCCAACAGTTCTCGTTCGGTTTGAGTGAAATCTTCCATTTCTTTATTAACTACAGAGAATACTCGGCTCTTTGGAATCCTTTACTTTATATTCTCTCCGTTAGAAAACACGTTCGGATATGCGCAAGTCAAATGACGACCGTGAAAGAAGGAGGGTGTACTAGGCGATGGGACCTGCTTCTTATTTCGTCCCGAAGAGAAAAAAAATATCGCGTAAGTGCGGTAGTCGCTAGACCGGAAATTGAACTCGAGTCTCTCGCTTGCAGGGGGACTGCTCTAAACCCACTGAGCTACCTGACGCTCCATGGTCAAGACACTCTCCTCTCCCCTGATATCGTTAAAAGATGTCGTTCGGAAGCGACATCTCTAATGCCATCCCGAGTTTAAACCAAAGATATCTATATCACATTTACTTTCCTGTTTTGAGGAATATATCTACGCATGCGCTACAACTCTGAAGAGTAAGAGGAGGGGATAGCCTATAGTAGCTTTAATATTAGGCTTCGGAAAAAACCTCTGTCTCTCAGTCGCTCTGTGAACACGAGATTCATCGGTTGTGTGTCTACATAGTAAAGTTTGGGTGTGTCTACATAATAAAAATATATGCTGCCGGTGCTGAAGTGAACGCTAAACACGCAAATTATTACATGCCTGCTCAACATGAGGACGAGGCTCCACCGAGCAAGAAAATGTGCGAAAGGTGAGTGTCATAATGCTATTTCTTTTAGTTTATCCGTAGTAATTTTTCCAAGATTCAGACATGTAAATTTTCTATATCTTTTCAGCGTTCCACGACCTCCTGCTATGCATATCTTAGGACGCCGATACGCTTTGACTGCAACTGCTTATAAATATTTGAATATCGGAATCAGCGTAGGAGCTGAACCCGTCATAGACATAGTCATTGATGATAATCATGGCAAACAACAGCTATTGCCGATCAAGACTTGGAATGCGCTAATGGGGCAACGTGCTGACATCCAAAGATTTCTGCAGGCCAATTTTTATAAGTCATCGTCCCGATGCGTATAGAAGAATTAACAATAACGTCATGTAAGATGTACAACTCACAAATTGTGAAACTCACAATTTTTAATAATTGCTTATATGTAACACCAGATACGTTAAATGTATTATTTACATTTGAAAATTGCATCAATCACATGTATGGATGGTTATCAGAAAATATCTGTATAGTTAGTGTAAAATTCAGAACTTTTGTAAATATTCTTCGTGAAAAGGAGAATTATATTACTAATATACATACTGCAACAAAAACAATACAAGAAAGCAGCGACTTTGACCGCGAGTCGCTCATTGATTGTGAATTGTTAGCATGCGCTGTAAAAAATATAATGTATGAAGCCGTGAACAAATAAATGATATTTTAAAACATAAAATTATGTATAAATTAATTCTATATGTCTCCCATTTTACTTCCCTTCCCCCTCCTCAGAACGATGAGGATAGTGCCCAGCGCAAGTCGGTATGGTAAAATACTCTTTCGACGAACGTTTCGTATTCCCTTCCAACCTACCCTATGATGGTCTAAGTGGTAGGACCATCGCACAGTAAACGAAGGGTCCGGGGTCCAAGTCTGGCCTAGTTTCGACTTTGTTTTTCTTTTGACGCATGCGTGACGCCATCATACACACTGTAAGAACCTTCACTAGGCGCCTACTAGCAATAGGTAACAATGGTCTAGGAGGTTCGAGAGACATCCGATAGACGTTCGAGAGAGACGTCCGAGAGACGTTCGAGAGACGTTCGAGAGACGTTCGAGAGACGTCCGATAGACGTTCGAGAGACGTCCGATAGACGTTCGATAGTAATCGCGGGGCCCAGGTTCGACCCTACCTACACCGCCGCCATGTTTGTTCTTTTGACGTATGCGTGACGTCACGGTCGCCATCTTACCCGTAACGTGACGTCAACTAGCAATAGGCGACGGTGGTCTAGAAGGTTCGAGCGCTCGATAGCAACCGCGGGACCCAGGTTCGAGTCTGGCCTATACCGCTGCCATGTTTTTTCTTTTGACATATGCGTGACGTTATCACACACATACTGTAAGAACCTTCACTAGACGTCTACTAGCAACAGGCAGCAATGGTCTAGGAGGTTCGAGCGTCCGATAGCAACCCGCGGGGCCCAGGTTCGAGTCTACCTACAGCCCGACGCGTTTTTCTCTCGTGACGTCACGGCCGCCATCTTGCTCATAGAATCAAAGATTCTGGGGTGGAGCAGGAGGGTACCAATAAAGAGGGGGTATCAATTAAGAGGGGGGGTCAATTAAGGGGGGTCAATTAAGAGGAGGAATCAATTGGGGGGGTAATAATTAAAAAATTTTAATTAATAAATAATGTCTTTTGCATAATTAATTAGCAATTTGGGTTAGAATCCCCCTAGTTTAACTACTGTAGAACCATGATGCCATCGATGAAGAACTTCTGTGGTTTCTGGTTGAAAAACTGAATCAAGTGGTTTTCACAGGCTTCTTTTGAAACCAATTTAATTCCATTGAGAAAGTTCTGCAGAGATCGGAACAAGTGATAGTCAGAGGGTGCTATGTCTGGAATATACGGTGGATGCATCAAAACTTCCCAACCAAGCTGTCGCAATTTTTGACGGATCATCAAAGAAGTGTGTGGTCGGGTGTTGTCATGATAGAAGACAACACTTTTCCTATTATGAAATTCGGACCGTTTTCTTTCAATTGCCTGGCGTAATCTCTCTAGTTGTCCACAGTAGAGTTGAGAATCAATCGTCTGACCAACTGGAAGTAGCTCATGGTGGACGATTCTCTTCCAGTCCCACCACACACACAGCATCACCTTTCTCGGCGTCAATCCTGGCTTCGCGAACGCTTGTGATGGCTCACCATCTCTTGTCCATGATCTTCGACGCCTCCGATTGTTGTATGTGATCCATTTTTCATCACCGGTTATGACACGTTTCAGAAATGGCTCGATTTCATTGCGTTTCAGCAGCGCATCGCAGATATTAATTCGGTCTATCATGTTTTTCGCGTATGGGTTCCTCATGAGTTGAAAACTCATGAGGAACCCATACATCGAGCTTCTTTCTGTAGCCAGCTTTGTGTAAATGGTTCAAAACAGTTTTGTGGTCAATGCCTAGCTCCATATCAATATCGACACTGCTGATATGCTTATCTTGCTGGATTTTTTCAAGAATTTCATCAGCTTTTTCAGTGATTGAATGACCAGAGCGTGACTCATCTTTCACATCAAAATTACCAGAACGAAAGCGAGCGAACCATTTCCGCACAGTAGATTTTGATAAAGTATCTTCACCGTACACAGCACAAATTTTTTCACAAGCCTGCGCAGCGTTCTTCCCTTTGTCCTAATAATATTGCAAAATATAGCGCAATTTTTCATTACTTTTCTCCATTCTCAAACGCAAACAACTTTCCAACCACTGCACCAATTTCGATGTTTATACACTCAATGTAACTCTCGAAGTGTTCCCTTTCCAACGAGCGTTTAGTGGTATCGCTGCAATCTGTGTTTCCTGGGTTATTTGCAATTGATGCCATCTATCGGGAAAAACGCCACGAACTTTTTCCCATACCCAATATAAGGCGTCAACTTTGCAATCATGAACCAATATTGGGGGGTTCAATTTGTAGCCAATATTAGCCCAACAATATGTGCTATCAGAGTGACTAAAAGACATCTTTCGAATGCCAAAACTACTTTTAATTGACAAACAGACATCTTTCGCAAATCCTCTTTTCGACACGATATAAATATGTCTAAAAGATGTCTTTTTGATTATATAAAAAGTCGTTTTGACTGGGCCAAAAGTCATTAAAAAGACGACTTATATGAAAAGTACTACAAATAGCATATAATGATTAATAAATATTGATTGAATGTTGAATGTGTTTTTAAAATGTTTTTATATGATATATCCATAAAATGACAGTTCTCAAAATTTGCAATTAATAAAGCACGTATTAGGAGTACAAATAAGTTTCCGTCGTTTGACAAAAGATGGCTCCACCAGAAGGTTATGTTGAATTTTTTTTTTTTTGGTGACCCTGGTGAAACATCTTATGGGTACCCACGGACCCTGGATGGGGGTCCGCGGGTTATGTCGGACTCGCACCGACTAAAACTCCAGGGAGGTGCCTACCTTCAGGGGTAGCAAGTGGCAGCCGGAAGCACTAGTTCCCTATTCCCTTTCCTAAACCGCCACCACTTTTGGCCCCACTGCCGTGAGGCCCTCGCCTGCCTTGGGCCCCGCGCGCCACAGGACTTGTAGGGGGCTGTGGTGAGGGGAGCCGTTGGCGGCTAGACACGCACATATAATGTGCGTGCTGCCTAGTGCGACTACCAGCACCGCTGCACCACACCCCCACTCCGGTTACCGAGTAGGGGGAGCATTATGCAGAGGGCCCAAAGGACCATGCCACTCAACCACCGTACCTGGGCCAGGGAGCGCCGTCCTATCAGGGGGCGCGCAGGGTTACCGGGGCCAGGCATTGTCTCTTTCCCCCCGATACGTGGAGGGAGAAATGCCTGACCCCTAACCGGCCGTGCTGCAGGCCAGGGAGGGAGGAGGGGCACC